CCCATCTAATTTGACTATACAATTGTGGACAACAATGAGCAAGTACAACTTTTTTATATTATTATAGTCTTTTCCTAACTTGGCAAAATTTCATAGATACAAACAAACATTATACCTTTAGGCAGCTGTGGATTCTGCTTCATATATTATTATTAATTTTTTGCAAATGTCTTGCTAGAACGTGCCAATTTGCGACAAATATTTCTTACATATAACTACTATTCATTTAGGATATATTAATATGACTAAAATCAAAATAAGAGAATTTAGGCACCCATAATTTTGTTATATTCAACTTTTTTATAACCGAAATTGGTTTATAAGCAAAATGTATGGTATATTAATATTTAATAAAAAAAACTACTACGTAATTTGGCATGTTTCCCGACTGTAAAACAAATTTTGTCGTACACGCGGTCACAAAATATATTCCGCAATCAGAACCTTCCTTCCCTCCATATAGTACAGATATTGGTATGCAGAATAATCAATTGGTAACTAATTATAATTTTATTTTACTTTTCTTAACTCATTTCTTAGAATACCATTTGCAAAAAAAAATTATTGGTGTGCTAAAATAAAGTATTAGTATGTTAATAAAGTCATAAAATAATAATAAGATATATGACACTACATTCAGGGTTTTTAGAATAGTTTTATGTAATAAGTAAAAAATAAATGTTACACTGTTATAGAAACTAATGGTTCTTGTTTATTTTTTATTAATTTTGTTGCAGATTTTATTTTTATTTGTAGTATAAATTAAATTAATAAAATTAATAATGCTGCTGTTGTAAATGTTGTAAATACATAAAGTTAACACCTTTAAATTTAATTTTTTTCTTACTTTTTTTCATATTTTCCTCTTTTCACTCACTTTCCTCCTCTTCCCTTAATACGCGTCATCGGGTTGGTAAATGTTTTTTTATGCTACGTTAATCATTTATAATTTTCTTTTATAATAAAATATCATTCTTTTTACTTTCCCCTCCCCCCACCTTTCACATTTCCCTTAATTTTTTTCCACATAAATTTCGTGAGTAAAGGCAATATTTTGTTTTTATTTTATGAAATTTTTTTCTTCCCTTATTTTTTATCAACCATTCATTATTACCTATTTATTTTCTGGCGTCTTGTTTTTTCAGATAGCTTTTATGAATTTCTGATTAAAAATAGATAAATATTTTATTGTCTAACTTTAAAAATTTTACTTGAATAATTAATTCGGTAAAATTTTAACGCTGCAATTATAATACATATAATAATAATAACACGCCAAAACAGCACCAACTGCTGTAAAAAATATATATCGCAAGGTATATTTATACTTTCTTTTTAAAATTATAAATTAATAATAATACATACACATACATATATATAAAATAATCATTGACAATGAATGAATTATCAGTAAATACCAAACAAAATTCTTTGGGTATGGACAGTATTGTTATTAATCGTAATGATATCAATAATAATAATAATAATAATAATAATAATAATAATAATAATAATAATATCAATACGATATCTTCAAGCGAACAACAACAACAACACAATATTAATGAAACGAGTGTCGATAATGAATTGTATTGGGGAAATGATGGTGATGACGATGACGATGATGGCAATAACACAAATAGAGATTATAAAAGAAAAACAATTAGAAATTCTGCACAGGATGCAAAATTTTATACACCTCCTGATTCACCAACTCAAGAATATGATGATGATAAATATGATAAATATTCTTCTTTTTCCGATAAATCATCATCGATATCGCAAAATTCTAACAATAACTCAAAGGATAGTCTAAATTCAAAGGAAGGAAATAACGGTACTACAGCGTTTGGAGGCATTTTAGTTACAACCATACAAGTTGTAGAAGTTTCGAAAAATCAAAAAAATAATGAGCCTTTACAACAAAATGACAATAATAATGGCAACAATGCTAAAAACATTAAACAACAGCAAGTTACCTTTACAACAAACAACAATAACGACAGCAAAAGTATTATTGTTGACAATACTGATGACACTTCTTTTCATGAACAACAACAGCTGCAGCAGCAGAAACAATTAAATAATATTAAAAAGAGATTATCAATTCAAACTATGAAAGATAGAAGAAAATCAAGAATTTATAATGACATTGTGATCAGCGAGTTAATTCAAGATTTCGATGAAGCACAAAAAAAATATTCTGAAATAAAAGTTGTTCGTACACAATCAAATAAACGTACCAGACAAACAAAACGGACAAACAATGTTGTTTATCGAAAAGTTACCAAATCAAGACCAAGATTGCCATTGGTTAAAGCCCCAACTTCAAATCCTCCTCACTCAAACGACCCTACCGATATGGATGAAGACTTACCACCTATAAAATATCAATCCTATCCTTGGGTACCAGAAATCAACATCCCTCCAAAACTCATTCATGCAAGCCTTGTTCCATTGTCTATTCATAAAGAACGTCTATCTATTGTTCAACAAGATGAAAACAACGTTAGCAACAACAATAATAACGATAATGATAAAGAGAATGAACAAATCACAACAACAAAAGTTGGATCAACTCGTCCACTTGTTACCAGAATCGCTAAATTGAAAATATTAAACCGTAATTCATCTAAACGATTATCAAGGGCCAACTCTAAACGCAAACAAAAACGCGTATCTGCTATAATACCACGTCAACAACGTGCTTCACAAATATTCAGACAGAATGTATTGGAGCAAAGTGTGTTTTTATCATTTAATGGTAATGTTACAACTGGTAATCCACAATTTTATCCAAGTAAAAATCTTAATAACACCAATGATAACGATAATGATAATATTAATATTAGTCATGATAAAAGTAACGCTGTTAATGATAATAGTAGTGGTAAATACAATAAGAGGAAATCATTACGTCGTCAAACAGCAAGGAAAAGTATAATAGGAGAACGAGAATTAAAAAAAGAACGGCGTAGAAAAGAAAAAAAGAAAATAAATAAAACTTTAAGTGATGATGAATCGGGAGAGATTGACGCCTTAAATCCAATCATTATTCAAAAAATTTTGGATAGCGAAGTTTTAGAAAAACGTATTAAAGAAGATCTTCTCATAAAGCAGAAAATGATGTCTCCGAAACCACCACCAAGAAGAGCAACAACCGAATTACATTTATCAACTGAAATAAATCAATCGAGTGACACCACTACCGCCGCTCATACTTTTAAACGTCACAAGACCACGAATTCTCTATTAATTGCTCCCTTGCCTGATAGAAGATCCGTTAAATCCGAATTAAATAACAGATCATTATATAATTCAATAGATTTTCCAACATTTCCAGCACATTTATCAAGACATTCTTATTACACAGAAACCTGATTTAGTGATACCACCTCTCCCATCTCCTTCACCGCAATAGCTACTATAATTATAATCATCATATCAACGATTGTTGCTGTTTTTACCTCATTTGCGTTAAACAGGCTTGATTTCCTGGGCTTGCTGGGAAATATTACTTTTTTTTGCATCTTTTAAATATAAATTTATTTATTTCAGAACTTAATAAAATGTAAATATATTTTTTTAATTATTATTATTATTTTAATTACAATTTAATATCAATTTTTGTTTTTGTTTTCCTTGTAATATTATAAATATAAATATATTATTATTCAATATTTTTACTAATGTTTTTTATAAATTTAATTTCAATTAATCTTATTATTGTTATTCTGTATTAATTTTCTTTTAATGACTGCTGGTTCATTAAATGACACTTTAAAAAAATTAATTTAATCCTTAAAACATTTAAATAAACAGAATCATCTATATTGTTGACGATTATGAATTAGTGAGTTAAGGGTTTTTGTTGTTAATTAATTCTAAAAACATTAAAGATAAATGCCAATAAAATTTATTTGAATGAGTACTACCAGGCCTAAAAATTTTCCTCGCTCAGCTTCAGTTAATTCCGAGATTAGTTTTTTTTAAAATTTCTATATATGATAAAAGCATGAAAATTACTCGATTATTCATACTCATGAGAACCTAAATTATAAGCAATAAGTTTTTAAAAGGTTTACTTTGTAAAATTGAGGATTGCCATTTTTAGTGTTTTCTCAATGCAATGTTAATTAAAAATCTTTAAAATCATACACAAAAATTAAAAACATAAGAATTTACACGTAGGCTGTAAATTATGTGTAATTTTTATTATGTGAAAAAAAAACCTTATCCGGATACTTTCTTCCGGTCACGACATGAATTTTTAAATGTTACATTGATGCAAATAAAAAATAGTAGTTTACATTATACATTATTATATAATTCGATCAAAGCCATCAAACTAAAAAATGCACACCAATAATATTCTCTCCTAACTAATACGTATTTACTATATATGTCTTATTCGACTCCTCGTGCTCAAATTATTATTATTATTATGTAATTGCATCGCATAGGAACATTTCCATTTTCTGTTATATTATTAATTTAATTTTGTGTTGATGGACTTGAAGGCGCAGGATACCTTAATTTTGAAGATAGTGAATTTGGACATCCCAGAGTGGTTAGGTTTCCCTCGCCAAGGAATAATAATTCATATCATTATGCAAGAAGACAATTGATGATAAACATTTAAATATAAAAATTTGAATTAAGCCATGCAAAATTTAAAAGAAAAACCATCATTGGTTAATATATAAATAAGCCAATCGATATACATATATATATATATAATATCCATTACTTGTACATTTTGTCCAATACTCATTTTATTTATCATCATCAAAATTATTACTATTGTTGTCATTGTTATTATTGATATTCTGCTAAAGATATCTTATTGGAAGTATACTTTGATCGGAATTTCGATTTGCCATTCTTAATTAAAGAGACGTAGATCAAAATTATATAATACTAATGCAAGAAAAAATAGAATACTTACTATATGTGGTAATAGAAATCATGAATCAATGAAAGTATTCCTTTGTCTGAAAATGCTCCCTAATTTCACCGATCAACTTAAACCTTACGAATATTTTATAAACCTTGTAGATAATAAAGTAATGCATAAATATTTAATACCTTTGACTGATCTTATGGTAGCTGCCAATGGCCTCAAAGTATTTACAATTATCGTTATATTTTATCTAAGAACTTTTGTTATTTGTAATTTAAATAAATATACATATATTAGAGTTTATAACTTTATTATTTAAAAGAAAAATGACATTTATAAGAATGGGAATATAACTTTTCGTTTTACCAATAAAACAAATAAACACTTGTATAATTTTCTCATTAAAAATCAATCTGTAAATACAAAAATAAAAAAAAATATATTGTAATTGTAATTTTATTAGAATTGATAGATTGTGGTAAGTGACATTTGGGTGAATTGTTGGAAGGATCAATGGAAGTTTATCTGTTTCATCAAATATATAATTTTTTTATTAATCTTTCATTTCTTCCAAAAACCAAAAATGAAATTTTTTTTCCCCCAATTTCACTATGCTTTCTTCTTTCTGTTTTTTAAGAAAGAGCATGGAGGAGAGAGTATATACAAAAAAGCCTTGATCATTATGTTTCATTTAGCAGCTACAATGGAATACATGTTAAAAGCCTCAAGACCTTGGATAGAAAGTGAGACTTTATTTCTTGTAATTTATCTTTGTGGCACACTGTAGCTTGTTGCTTTCTTGATTATTTCATCATCACTAATGTAAATAATAATAACTCAAAGAGTAAATACTAACAGAGTTTGACAATGAAAGTCATTTATTTGTAAAAATAAAATAGTTACTATTATAATTACCAATAATTGTAACTTTATTAGAATTAACAGATCATGGGATTCAAAAACCTACCAGTGTAAATAGCATTTGGGATATATATATATATTATGTTATATTTATTTTATACCTTGTGAGTATAATAGTTGCTGTATTGTTTGATTCTAACCTGTTGAGATTAATGACATCACAACTCCAAATTATAAATGTCATATAATAAAACTCCAATGCTGATTTTTGATGATAATCCTCATATAATTTTAACTTCAAAGAATCATGAAGAACCCCATTTCCTATATAATATTAATATCGATATATTAAAATGAACAATAAATAGACATCCAGGAGTATGCAAATTGTTTTTATGTGATCATAATTTTTGGCCAAAACTAACATTAAGATATTTTTATAATTTGAAAGGGACTTCCTCTACATCGCCACCAGATACATTATTGGCAATATATTTGTTTTGGCAAATATTTTTCTAAATGTTAATTTGTACCTACAATAAAACAAAATGATAATTAAATAAATAAATATTTCAGACTGACTTTTTTTATGCAAAAACTCTTTCATACAATTCCTACAATATAAATTAAAAAGGTTTTAATTTGTCAATTTTTTCTAGAAATATCAGGCTTTGTAAATTGCAATGTTGATTTTTTCATGATCATTGATTTGGTTGTGAATTACTTTGATGTCTTTGTTCAGCTTTATATGATTATCAACAAACTTTTTTCACAATTTACAGTATGACTGTAAAGCAATAAAAGTGCCAACACATATCATTTTCTTTTCAGTAATCATTGAATATACATTCTTACTGAATTATGCAAAAAAATGGTTAATGTGTGATTAATGCATAATTCTGGATACTTTACAGATCATCAATTAAACACCTTGAATTTGCTAGGGTTAAAAGTATAACTTTCAAATGTATAACTTAGAGATTGGCACCATTTAAAAATTCTTTAACCAGTTAACTAACCATTAAAACCTCCAGTTAACCAGTTAAATGAACCATTAAACTGTTAATTTTTTAACTGGTTAACCGGTTACAAACAAAATTACCATTGCCATATTTAGTTAAGGTAAAATAACTATTATAAAATTTTCATAAATTTAATTTTTTATTTACAATAAAAATCATTTCTTTTTAAAAAGGATAATATTATATACAGAAAGATTCTTTTATAAAATATACAGAACTTACATGACAAATAAAAATTAATTCTTAGAGTTGGTAATTCCCTGCCACCCCCAACCAGTGTTGGAAACTGAGTGCAGGGGTTTGTGTTACATATTGAATTTAGCCAATCAACGTTAAAATTTCTACCAGAAGAACAAATTTGATTGGCTAAATTCAATATGTAACACAATACCCCGCGCTCAATTTCCAACATGCTTCTGAGCATAACTTTCAAATTTAAAAAATCTACGAAAAGAAAATTTGAGACAAATTTTTTTTTTAGATTAATAGACTCCCTTTTTAAAGCTGAATTGAATGCTGGTGAGTTTTTTAAAATCCAATGTGTGGATCACATAATATTTCAAAATTTTGAGTATAGATGATCCGCACTGTACGTGAAATTCAAATTAGCCAACCAGAATTTAAAATTTTTCAAATTTTTCACATAGCTTCAATTTTACATACAATGTCCACATAAATCAAAATGCAACCACAAATAACCAATACTTTTATTATTTTTATTTGAGAGAGTGGCAGAAGAACAAATTCCATGAAAAAAAAGCCAGGTGTGGTAAAGGGTACTAGAAAAAAGAAGAGTAATCATACGAGGAAGACACGAAGGAGTGAAATTTTTTTTAATAATAAGATAAACGTAAGTGTAACGTCGACTACTATTATTTAATTTAGGAACAGTTAGTCATTAGAAATGTTATGTTATAAATTTTATAATAAACGTAATAAAGGGCGCATAATACCAAGTATTGCCGCATAAATCTGGAAATCTCAACCCACGTCCCCATATAATTTTATTGATCGGCAGTTTTCATTTATAGTAAGCCATGCATGGGTTTTGATTTATAATTATCAACAAAATTGCCCTGAGACCATAACGTTTATTAAGAAATTTGTTCAACGTGGAATCATTACAAATAAAAAAAAAATTATATTCCAAATAGTTTTGTGTTATGAACAATTATTTGTTTGCGGGAAGGAATAATTGATAATCGGATGAATAATTTGTAGCAAATAGATTTTCAAGTCAAAACTTGTTAGATATATTTATACATTGAATCTCATACTCCTTTTCTAATTAGAATTACGGATAACATTAATATAATAATAATAGTAATAGTAATAGTAGCATAACGTTCCGCAAAGTTATTGAGATGAAATATACAAGTTTAGAAAATAAATAATAAATCATTAATTTGCTATTAATCATTCAACAATCTTCTTGATAAAAAACATACCAATATTTTATATAGTAAATCTTTTGTATTAAAAAAAATTGTTAAAAATTTTTACAAATGTAAAAATTAGTGAATTATTATAATTAAATCAATTGTTAATTTAATTTTGTTTTCTAACGTTATTGCAAACTTTAGGGCCAAGTTATACATTTAAACTTAATTTGGTTTGGATCAAATCATATAATGAACAGGAATTTTTGTTATTCACTAATTATTTTTATTTTATATATATATATAATAGTACTGTTATTCTATATATATATTAATATTAAGTCCTCACTAATAAAATTTTTAGGTTCTCATCACCCGCCGGGTTAATTTGAAAAATTTATTTACGTCACCTTATATACTATCAATATATAGCAAAATTGTGTCATACGGCAAACGGTTTGTTTCTTATAACTACTCATTGCAATTGTGCATGCAATACTTTTGCAAGGTGAGGAGAGGCAAAAATTTTAAAAATTCGTAGTAATGCGAATAATTCGTTGAAACGAGGTTTGACTGTAATAAACTTCACAATATTTGCTTAGATATTTGCGGAGAATTAAAACGAAATGTAAAAAGTTTTTATTATTATTGAATTGAGCTAGAGCTCTATTCGTAATACAATTCTTATTCGAATACATCTCGATTAATTGTTTTATTAGGTTTTTTATTCGTTTTATTCATTTTATTCGATTTGTTCGTTTCGTTCGTTTTATTCGATTTACTCGTTCGTTCGTTGTTCGATTTATTCGATTTATTCGATTTATTCGTTCGTTTTGTTTGTTTTATTCGCTTTGTTCGATTTATTTGTTCGTTTTGTTCGATTTATTCGAATAGAAACTCTAAGTTGAGCAGGCTCGAGTTGAAATTTGAGATTTCAAGTTTGAGCTGAGTTCAAGAAAATGGTTCTTAAAATTTTTTTTTAGATAATAAAATAAAATAAAAGTAGAATTAATCATTCATTACCTTAAAAAAATTTGTATAACATCAAACTCGAGCCGGCTCAGCTCATTTAGAGCTTTATTGATAGTTAATAGTTTTGTAGTGTTATTTGATTTATAAGATGTATTTTGTTTCAGGCCAAAGTCTTTTGTTATTATTTCTTTGTTCAAGATAATGATAACTTACAAATAAAGCGAATTTTAGTTGTTTATATACATGTTTGTTAATTATAAAATGACTGAATCGGCATTGAAGGACTCAAAAATTTTGAGAATGTCTTGAAAGATTTAATTATTCCTACACGATTCAATCGTTTGCGCGCAACTTTATTTGAATGTTTCACGGGATCCAATCGTTCCACGCAGATAAAATTATCGATAACCTCAGGCTTCTACCAGCTATATGTAACAATAGAATACAGTCCAACCTCGTTTCAACGAATCTATGGGACACATAAGAAAATTGCATTTAAAATTCGTTATACTAAAATTACTAATCGTGTTTAATTATAATTTGTTGAAATAAGGTTTGATTTCAATTGATAAGAATAAATAAAGTGCACGGCGAATGATAAATATAATTAAAAAGAATATGGATATAGCTATTATAGTAGATAAAATTAAAGTGAACGTGTGTAACCTTTAAGAATTGTGATGTCCCACTTGAAATTACGAGTTTTGATTGGACGATTAAAATTATTCAAGCGGAAGATTTATAATCATTATCAATAATTGTTTAATTAATGTAAAAAATTATTCGTCTATTTTCTTCAATAAATCAAATAAATTCGTTCTTGTTATCAGGTAGGTTCTATGTAATCACTGACAGAAATATTTTTTTTTTCTTTAATTCAAATATATTCTTATTATTAAACGATAAACTAATTGTATCACATATAAAGTTGCAACAATAAGTTTGTTTATTTCTGCCAGTGATTACATAGTAATAAGATCTACCTGATAAAATCGGTTTATCATATATTCATTTTTATCAAACATCGTCTTAACAAGTTAGTTCTGACTGTACACATATAGAGATATATTTAAAAAAAAAAAGATCTTTCTAGAAAGTACAATTTATGAAGTTTGTTGTCATCAATTTTTTCCTTCTCTTTAATTTTGAAATGTTCTCGGGATTATTTTATTATTATTTTGTTGTCATTTTCTTTATTTTCATTTTATTAACATTTTTATGTACTTATTTTTTTAGTTGGAGCTTTTGTGGGCTTTTCTTGGAAATTCGCTAAGCTTTTACATTGTTTTATTATTATATTGTTATATTGTTATATCGTTCACATTTTTCATCGTTTCTTTTTATATAAAATTTGTTTTTGTATTTCTTTCGATCCTCTTGGCCAGAATTGACCCTTCCTTGCTTTTCTCTTGTCAGTCTCTCTTTTCTCTCAGTAAAAGAAGAACTGTGGACCAACACCCTTTTGAACTCCTTTTAATACCCATTTCCTTAATCACCGGATCCTAACATTAATTTATGAATTTTTAAATCTTCCCTTTCTTCTGGTTCCAAATTTTTGTTCGATTATCCGTTTTCTTTTCTTATTACTAGTTTCTTCCAGTTTATCGGAAAGAATTGTCTTGTTAGTGGCTGGTGGCCGTTATTTGGTAGGTTTTATAATATTTCACAATCCCGAGAAACATGAATTTGTAACAAGTATAATGATACTATGAGTATTAAAGTAAATTTTGAAATGTTGATATTTATTGATTCGTATTTATTGATTTTTATGACAATTATTACTGTTATTGCTATTATGGTTATTATTATAACCATTATTATGTGGGAGAGCGAAATAATTGATAAATTGAATGGATCAGGTTAAATATAAGACTTTACCAGCGAATGGTTTTTAGGTTTTATTTAATATGGGTTTATCAAGTCGAAAATTTGTTCTCAAGCCAAGACTTGTTTTTCTTTGCGATAGCGTGTAACAATTTTGTTCTTGTTATCAGGTAGGTCCGACGTATTACTGGCAGAGATATTTTTTTTTTTAATTCAAATATATTCTTATTATTAAACGATAAACTTATTATATCACATGATTATAATATAAAGTTGCAAAAAATAAGTTTGATTATTTCTGTCAGTGATTACATAGTAATAGGACTTACCTGATACATAGAATTATTGATATACTGTAGGAGTTGATTTAAGTCTAAATATAAAATTTAAATTAAAATTAGTTTTTAATATTCAAATGTTTATTTTATTAGAGTTGCCTTTCAAACTCAAAAGATTAAATTAAGTTGAAACTAGCTTAGAGAGTTTAAAATGGCAATTATACATATTATACAAATAATATAAAAATTACACAATTATTGATGAGAGGAATCCAAACTTGAGGTTGGCAATGGATCATTGGAAAGCAAATCAAGAGAAACGACGCTGTAAAGTTTGAGATATTGTCAATTAGTGTGTACCCATTTTAATTGTAACAATTTATATGATATCCATCATGCAGTCCATATTAATATTACACCACAAAATTGTATGAATTGGATTATCTGTTATAGTTATCCACTGCAAACCGGTTTTGCGGTTTTATTACAACTGGTTCCAATTTTGGAAAAGTGTTTAAAGCAGGTTCTTGTGAATAAAACCGGATCCAACCTCAGGGGCAGCGATGGACGTTTGACTGTTATATACAACGGGCATTAAACTTATTTTATTAAAAATCTCCATTTCATTGATAACTATCTCCTTATGAATTCTCTCGCGTAAACTGCTTCAACATTATTGTTATCGGACTGTTGGATCATCCAAAAATGTAAAATAGTTTTTTACAATATTACAAAGTTTAAAGATTTAAAAGATGTATAATAACAATTATACCGATGTAAAATGAGAGATTTTTTATCATTTCTTGAATTACGGTTAAAAAATTTATTTGATAAAAGTTATTAATAAGAATAAATTCTTAATTTAATATAAGTCTCTAATTTTCTTTACTAATTTATATACCTTTATATTCTTCTAACGACTGACACCATTATCATGTCTAAGATTCGTAGGAATGACCAAGAAAATAAGTATAATTACTGGTAATTAGTGCCAAATCACAAATATTTACAGATACTTCATTAAATGTCATATTATCTAATGTAAATTTAAAATTTTGACCATTACGAATCATTATTCATTCAGGTTTTTCGACTTTAAAAATAAAAAATAAAACAATTGTTTCAATTCACATGTTTTTTTAATTTTTATTGACAATACAGTTTATTCAATATTATATAGCGCTTGTTCTCAAAGAAAGTCGTCATTTTGATCACTACAACCAGAAATTAATGATTTTAAATCGAAATTTGACAAGTTTCTTGTTGTTTTAGTCTTTCGAAGAAATTAAAATCATAAAATAAGACTTGGAATTACTGCTACTGATATTATTATGACAAATGCCGCTATTATCTTTACCGCTATTATAATGATATTTTCTTATTTGTATTTGTATTGTTTCTTTAAACTTTCAATCATGACAGTTTTTGCCGAAGAACTTAATATTAAGGATCCATACGAGTGATTATTTTTTTTCTTTGCTTATTTTAGAATCATTTGAATGAACATTGAAATATTTATTTTTATTTCATGAGGTAATTTAATTTTCATATCAGTCGCAGGACATTGCAGATCTACAGGGGGTCAAGTGTCACTCACTAATAAAAATTTTTTGATCAACACGAATTTTATATGAAAAAATGAAGAAAAAAATCACGCTTTCATACACAAACTTGCTGTATGCTGCAAAGATCATAGAAGTCAATATATTCAATGATTACAATATCCCCAAGTACACACCCCTACAAAAAGTATCAACTCACTTGATGATCTGTCAAAATAATCAAATAAACGGGTAATACAAATACTTGTTTTTTTACTAAGCAAATCGATGTTGTGTATTAGTAAGAAAATGTTTGTTGAAATGACCATTGTATGCTGCAAAGATCATAGAAGTCAATATATTCAATGATTACAATATCCCCAAGTACACACCCCTACAAAAAGTATCAACTCACTTGATGATCTGTCAAAATAATCAAATAAACGGGTAATACAAATACTTGTTTTTTTACTAAGCAAATCGATGTTGTGTATTAGTAAGAAAATGTTTGTTGAAATGACCATAACACTCTAAAATATCACATTGGGCTAATTGTTATTGATAATTTTATGATTTTAAAAGTCAAATTAAAATTTTTTGAAAATTTTTTTGTTCTCAAATGTATATATATACACATTCATAATTATTGATTGAATATTCATGGAGCATTAATACAAAATGTAAAATAATGAAAAAATTATCATCAACAGTTTGTATAATATTTTTACATAATAAATCTTTATTAAATTTATATCAAAAGTATCAAAAAAGTATAAATATTTCATTCATTTATTCAATATTTTGTCAGGTTTCCTTTTGATTCAATTACAACTTGGACCCTTTGAGGAATGCTATCTACTAATTTTTGCAAATAATCACAATCAAGATTTACCCATTAATCCATTAAATAAGAAATTAATTCATTTGTATTTTTTTGGGGAGCAATAGTAGTTTGGTCTTAAATGCTTTTATTGCATGAGTTACTTGTTGGGGTGTTACAAATTTCAATAAACACAAACATAGTTGACCACACATATAAAAAGTCATATATACGGATTTTTCGCCGATCAATATATGTAAAAAATTTTAATATAAAAATTCAAACTCTATCTCCTTCAGATTTGTAAAGTATACCACTATTCAAAATTGGTATATGAATATTTCATAACACATACTTCAAAACAACGGTTTTGATTTTTTGATTTTTTGTTTAAAAAAACGTTGTATTCTCAAAAAAAAAATTTAAACAAGAATTAAGGAAAATTTTTATAAATTTTTTAAAATTCTACAACCGTTAAATGAAAGAGCAAGTTCCAAACTTTCATTTAATATCAGTTTTATAATTGTAAGAAAAATATTGGTGGACAAGATAGATTTTGAAATTTCGTAGAGATTTATTATTATTTACAGTAATATGATGATCATCACATTCTCATATTCTCTTTAATCATTACTTCAACTTGTATGTTGTATAGATCAGGGGCAATGATTTCTGTGGTGATAAATGCTAATTCCGTAAGTGCTAAAGACAAATTCCGCATGCATACCGTGCATTAAAAAAAAAAAAAATAGAAAATTCTAAATATTTAAACTGCATAAAGACTTCCTACTTCGTTCTACACTATAATAATAAGAAGAAATTGGTAACACTTATTAAATTCCATTTTTTATCTGCGGTACATTATAGTATTTCTGGTTTTAAACATTCCATGATTTCTGCGGCATTCTGCGCTATGCAGAAAATCATCCCTGGTATAGATAGTAATAAACAAAGTTGAAGTCATGGAGTTATCCACAAAAAAATAGAAGGGTTATTCCATGCATGACTAATTATTTTATTAGTAATCTTTTTTAACATTTCCTCTACTTGCGTAACAAACTTTGAATTATTAATATGAATTGATTTTTTTATCAATCGCGTAACAACTTTGGATTATTAATTATGATGTGAATTAATTTTACAAAGAAACATCTTTTCTGACTATTCGCGTAACCAACTTTGGATTATTAATTTTACAAAGAAACGTCTTTTCCGATTATTCGCGTAACAAACTTTGGATTAATTTTTTTATTAATCACAATAAAGGAAACATCTTTTCTGACTATTCGCGTAACAAACTTTGGATTATTAATTTTTCATATGAATTATTTTTTTTATTAATCACAATAAAGGAAACATCTTTTCTGACTATTCGCGTAACAGACTTTGGATTATTAATTTTTCATATGAATTATTTTTTTATCATCATGACAGGAAAATATATTTTCTGACTGTTTGCGTAACAAACTTTGGATTATTAATATGATTCAAACAAATTCTAATTACATAAATCATGTAGTTAAAATAAAATCTTATTATTCAAACAAACCCTTCTATGAAGAACTTTGCATTATCAATTCAACATCTTGGCACTTTAACTTGCTTCTTATGAACTTCTTGTATTTTGATTCTGAGGATTGAGTAACATCAAATTAATTCAAATAGCCTTTGAAATTCCCCTCTTCCTAATTTTTGACATGTAATAATTTCTGAACAAAATAATCAAATAATAAAAAATCTTTTCACAAATTTACAACAAATATATATTCCCAATTGAGAAAAATAATAATAAATTAATACCTTTGTATCATCATTATTAACTTACACACCAATTCAACACAATCTCACAATTTATTTGTACTGATTCAAAAGTTGCGTTTTTGTTTGATCATTATAATGCCTCCTCAAAAAAAATTAAGAAAACATTTGAAAAAGATATCATCAATAGGTGTTGCAAGTTGCAGATTAAAAAAAAAATATAATAAAGATTTGCCTAAATCTCAAGTTATTGAAATTTTGAAGTCTATGAGCTCCAACGAACTCCATGAAATCATCCATGAAATTAGCTCTAATGAATTTCAAGAAATTTTCCATTCAAATGGATCCCAAGAAATTATTTGTGAAATGAATTCTGATGAACTACAGGAAACAATCCATGAAATTAATTTTGATGAACCTCAAGAAACCATCCATGAAATTAACTCTAATGAATTTCAAGAAATTATCCATTCAAATGTATCTCAAGAAATTATTTGTGAAATGAATTCTGATGAACTACAGGAAACAATCCATGAAATTAATTTTGATGAACCTCAAGAAACCATCCATAAAATTAATACTCTTATTCCACAAAATAAAATAGAAAAAAGGAGGAATGAGCTTATTGAGCATGTAAAAAACTTGCCTGAGAGCCAGATAATCAATGCTTATACTCTGTTTTCCACAATGACATATGATAAAGGGAACCATCGTGGAGAAATATATTCATCTTATATTCAAAAAAAGGCAAAAGAATTTGTAAATAGCAGCATTTATAAACAATCTTCATCAATGTCATCAATACAAGAAAAAATTAGTGAGATGGAAACTAAAATACATAAAATAGAAAAAGAAAAAGAAAATACTGATCTTCAATTAAGATCCCTTAAAATGAAAGAGGTGAAAGCTAAAGAAACAAAAAAGAATCATGTCTCTAAATTACGTCAATCTATACAAAAAGCAAAACAAATTACTCCTAATCAACTTCAGAATGCTATAAAAAAGATGATAAAAGAAAATAAGAAACAATATACACCTGAGTTTGTAGAGCTTGTAACCAAAATCAGTAACACTGGTAGTATTTCCATTTCATCCACTGTTGAATGCACTAGAGCAATTATGCAATTTTTAACAGGTGAGAAACCAGATCATTGGCTTTCAACTGGAACTATTTCACGTTGGAATAAAGAAGTTGCTACTTTGTGTCTTCATCAGAATCGTCCTAAAGATACCAAGTCACGTTCTTATTCTTATGGAATAATGTGTGATGAAAGCACACGTGGTGATAAAAAGATATTTTTGATTTGTTTTGCTCATTGGAGTGAGGATAAAAATCAGCCCACAATTACTATTGCCAAGATGGATGATTTAGATAAATGTAATGGAGATATTGTGGCAAAAGCAGTAAAAAAAACATGTGAAGAAAATGAAATTAATCCAAAAAAATGCAATTTTTGGCTTACAGATAATACTGCCTATATGTCTGGTTCCAAATCAGGTGCAGTTGTCAAATTCAACTTGATGTGTCAATCCTCTTCTTACCGAATACCTTGTGGTCTGCATGCATTACAAATTGCATTAGTGAACTTTGAAAATACAGTATTTGGGAAAACAAATTCTCCATCAGGTCTCTCTTTAGAACAACAACACCCACATAACCTCCTCAATTTAACATACCACTTACATGATGGATATAATGATAGTAATAAAGATAGCCCTTTGAATATGAAATCTGACTTGATACGTAAATTATATTGGAATTTACTTCAATATCCTTTAAAATCTTATCAAAAGCCAATCTCAAGTCGTTGGTTGTATCAATTAACAACTGCTCAGCAATATTTAACAAATAAATGGTGAGATTTGGAGAAACATTTTATGAAAAAGTCTTTAAATTTTTAACTGGATTTGACACTGTACTTCGAATAGCTAATGAAGATGAAACTAAGTGCTTACCTTTGGGAAACCGTGCACATGAGATGCCAGACCAAGTTTTCATTTGGATAGATGAACTTGAAAAAGCAGCAGAAAATCCAGAATTAATTTTCAAAGAAGAGTTTGAGAATGCTCAGTCCTCATTATCTAATGAAGAATATAACAATCTGAAAAAAAAAATAAAAGATGGAATAAAAAAGGCATTAGACAGTTTTTGCAAATGGATGGGATGCTGGATCCATTTGCCATTAGCAATTTGTAGTTTAGGAGGTGATAATGGTCCAGAATTTGCTCGTGCCATATCTCGTGTGTTCTTTTCTGTTTCCTATCCCTTAAACTGTCCACATTTTCGATTAAGGGAATTTCGAAAATTTTATTGGTAAATTTTAAAATTCCACCAATCAAAATTAACCAAATTACACAAATAAAAAAATTTAATTTACAAATAAAAATAATCAAATATTAAAGTTCGTGAAAATCTGTATAACAGTCTCTTTCTTCATTAAAGCATAAAGGAACTTCACATACTTTGCACCAAATTTGAGTTCTACATTCACTTTTCACAGCCTTTCCTTCCACTCTTATCCTTATATATCTGCAGAAGTAACATGCGCTCCGAAGTCCTTTTCTAGGAAGATGTTGTCCAGGTTTATTTCTCACTTCTGGTAATGTACCATCACTTCTTATTCTTGTAAAACTACTTGTAGATGGTATGCTGTTGTCATTTTTATTTTCGCTTTCATTCCACCCTGATGTAACTAGATTCCAAGCTAAACTCATCCTAAATTCTTTATGACTCAAATTTCCATTGCATTTATTATATATTAGAAAAGAATCAACAATGGCAGTATCTAATAACCAAAAAAATATTGGTACCCAAGTTCGTCTAGCAGTTATTTGGGTGTTGTAATAATGGCGATATTGATCAGCTACATCCACACCTCCCATAAAATGGTTATAATCATCTATTACTGCTGGAATTGGTAAGAATTTTTCTATTTCATCTCCAAAAACTTCTCTAACTTTATTTGCATTTGTACTTGTAATTCTAGGACGTTTACGTTTGGTCTCTTTTCTACTTTCTGATCCAGTAATTTCATGAATTGTTGACAGCATTGTTACTGGACCATTATCCATCCAAAAGATACTCAAAACGTTATCCACAACAACACCACTAAGAATATCCCAATCTAATCGTTTTTTTTCAACTTTTAATTCTTTTGGGAATTTAGAAGAACTTGTTCGTACAGTACCACAAGCTCCAATGCTTTTTTGACGCAAAAAATTAAATAGATTTATACTACTGAAATAATTATCCATGTAAATATTAAAGGACATGTGATTTGGTAAGCTTTTAATTAAATGATATACTTCACATCCAATTTTACCTAGACCAATCACTTTTTCAAGTGGGGTTTCTTTTATTCTTGAGGTGAACATAAAAGAATAAGTATATCCACTATTATCACATAGAGCAAGGATTTTATAACCTTCAGGTGTAGGTTTGTTTTTTCTTCCTGAAAATCTAACAATCATTTCATCAACAGATAAATTTGAAGAAGGAATATAGAATTCTTTACATTTATTTAATATATATGATGCAAGGGGTTCTACTTTATGATACCATAGATCTTGCTGTATGACTTCTGAAGGATTGGAAATGTGGAAAAATCTTTTGATCTGTTCAAATCGTTTTAAGGTCATATAATTCATTATTTTATGATGAGGATATTTATCAGATTTCTTCCAATAATCTTGTATTGAAGGTGATTTAAATATTCCAGTGTATATTACTATTCCTAACCATATTTTTATTTCAGATAAGTTTAAATCAGTCCATGGTCGTCCAATTCCAGCACCTTTTCCTGATGCATATATATTTGTACTTCTTATAATAATATTCAGAATATCAACAGTAAAAAATAAAGAAAATAATTCACAAGGAAAATTTTCAGATGAGGTTTGGATATCATCGGGCAAATTTATGCTAGAATCATGTAATGGATCCTCATGTTCAAGTTTGTTAAAAGTTGGTGGTGATGGAAGATTTATTATATTTTCTCTTCCCCTTCCCCTACCTCTACTTCTATTGCTACTACTACCATTATTGGTATTGTATTCAATATTGTTATCATTAATGTCATATTCATTCATTTCATCAATTTCCATATTTCGATTTTCAGGATCAGTAGAACTAGAATGTGTTAAATCAATTGTTTCATCTTCATAAATAGTAAAAGGTTTCCTGTGAATATGACATAGATATTTATCAATATTTTCATTGGTTTCTTCAATGGACATTTTATTGAAAAATGATTGCGTGTGTAGAGATAAATGATTTAAAAAGAAATTGTTATTATTGTTGTTTATTGGTTAAAATTTTAATTAATATAATTGAATGGTTAAAAAAATAATTTAAAGAGTCAGATGAAGAATCTATGCTCTTTTATATTGTTTTCAATAATAGCTTCGCCTGTCATCTTTGCTTTTAGTGTCTTTTCGGCCATAGTAATTAGTGATCTGCAAAAAGTTTTTAAAGTAAATGATCGACACGGACGTATGGTAGACTTTTTAAGAAAGTTTTACAAACCCCATATTAATAATGGCCGAGTTTCTATATATAGATCAATGTATAAAATCCTAAATATCATTTGTTAATTAGAAAGAATGACGGTCAGAAAAAATTTTTTATATAAAAAAATTTAATCGTACAAATTTGTACGATAGCCAGTTTAAGGGATAATAAATTGTATAGCAGAATATTTAAATAATTTTATGTCAGACTAAAACAACAATATTTGTTCTTCTAATTGATTTTAAGTTCTGAAATATGCATATACAGTCCATGGAACATGTAGAAAACTTGCCTTTAAATACCAAAATTACTAATCATGTTTCAACGAATTTTATATAATTATAATTCGTTGAAATGAGTGGTTTGTCTCAAGGTTGGGTGACGAAAGTGTCAAAAGTGCCAAAATCGACACGATTGTAATTAAAATTAACCAATTGTTTTGTAAACTTTAAACTATTTATGTTTTTATGATTCAAAGTGTAAATAAACAAAAAATTTTTTCATCATTTCCAATTCTAATTCACCAATTCCTTCTTAATCATCTTCATTATGCAATATGAATTTACAAACATTAAATCTAGATAATACATCTGAAAATTCATATAATAATCAAGAATTAATTCTGTAAACAATATTGCTAAAATCCATTCCTTTCATCTAAGCAATATTAAAAAAGAACTAGAATATACCAGTCAAACTTTAACAGGAAAGGATTTAAAGAGTATGTTGGTTGAAGCAGAAGTTATTTCAGATGATGATGATGAAAGTAATGGTGATGAAAGTAATAATGATGAAAGTAATAGTTATGTTGATGATGAAATTAATTTGACAGATTTAGAAATTCATGATATTGTAGATTTGGAAAATAATTTTTTTTAAGAAGACAATGATAAAATGGATGAGGATATGAATGAGGAAAGTGGTGGAGATTACAGTGATGATAGTAATGAATTAGATTATGTTACATTAGGATTAGTTCAAGAATCAATGAATGAGGATTTATTTTCAGAAATAGTTAATGAAGAAGCATTTCAACAACCAGAAGAAAACCAACAATTATTACATGATTCTACAGGTTTTGAAGAAAGTTGTGAAGCCAATGATGAATATGAAGTAATAATTTCTACTAAAACAAGAAGCAAGTACCCAATTAAGCAACATAATCTACGAAATAAAAATGCTTAAAAATTTGTTTCATTAATTTCGACATTTTTCGTCACCTTTGACGCTTTCATCACTTTTGTCACTTTTGTCACTTTCGGCAAAAGTACATATAATTTTCCGAAATACTTTCTACCCTCCAAATACTTTCGGCACCTAACCTTGATTCATTCAGAATCAGATGACTTGTCATTATAATGGTAAAAATGTATGTGCACTCTGTCAACAAACAGCTATTCCAAGGATTTTATTTCTTGTGTGATAATATTAAAAAATCAGCAAAGACTTTTCTAAAAGATCTAATTATTTAAATCACAACTTTGGGCAAAACTAAAAGAATTCAGGACTTATTTAATCTTGGTGTTAAAGCTTATCAAAAGCATTGGAACATATTGAGGGTAAATGGCAGGTTAAATACCAAGACATTTATTTTGTATATATTATTCATTTATTGTGTTTATTTTTTAATTATTATGTTTATTTTTTATGAAAATCATACACTTTTTTTAACAATCCAAGAAAAATGCACTAGGGAAGGTTGGAGCAAAAATGGCCAAACAGAGCACTTAAATGAAGTAAACATATGGTGAGTATTGTATACTTTGTTTATACATAACCATTAATTGTTTTTGCACAATTTAAAATCCTAGGTTCTATCTTAGTATGCAATTTTAATTAAAGGACTGAATTGAAAACGACTTGAAGAAGTAAATATAGCCATTAATTATTTTTGCATAACAATAATCCTTAAATTTATATCTTACTGTGAAATTTTAAATTACTCAAAAAAGGTCCGAAATTGAAGGACTTGTCATAGGAGCAAGCTTCTTCAATTGAAAACGGGTTTTAAATGGTGATGTATATACAATAGATTTTTACATTTCTGTGAACTTTTGGATCTCTTGAAAAACCAAAGGGTGGCCCATAAAATAAAGTAGTATGATTCAATATCGTAAAAATATTACAAAAAGCTTGCACAATACCTTTGAAAACTTTTCATATACATAATTTTTTACACAATAGGTATTCATTAGGGAGAATTTTCAAAGTGCAGTAAAAATTGCATATATGTAATTTTTACATTGTATAGGCTTATGCAAGTCTATACTAAAATTAATTTCCTTATGCTACTACAATGTATATATATACTGGTTAAAGAGTTTTTGGTCGAGACCGACTCTGAAGGGGGAGTTCTCGCATTACTTTGACACAAGAATGACTCATTATACTTGTAATATTAAGTGCCCAATGCAATAAAATAGCAAGTTTATGCAAATACCAATAAATTTCTCCTAATGTAAAAATTACGCAATAAAACAATAAAGAGTTTCAAAAATGACAGCAATCAATATCAATTTTCTTCTATAATATCGTCTGCAATTATTGAATAGGATTTCACTGGTATGGAATTAAAGGCATGTGGAATATTTTTTAGAAAACCTTTCCAAGTTAATTGCAGTGTTACTTAGCATATCGTTAGCAGCCCTGGTAAATTTCCATGTCTCTTTATGTGAGGGCGATTTAACCAATGCCTGGCAAAATAAATCATCATAACAAATAAAGTTAAATAAATAATAACATGTTATGAAATAATAATGCATGAAAAAAAAAAAAAAGAAATATGCGCATGATTTGAAAAAAAATTATGCAATGTCCCATATATAATTCTATTCAAAAAAAAAAGCAAGTTATTATTGATAGTATTTTTTAAGAAATGACTAAATCAAAATTTTTGTTAAACGGGATAGAATTGATAATTTCAGATCCTATTTCATCTAAAAGGAATTAGTCCAGTTTTTCTTTTATACATGATAAAAAGAGATGCAAATTGACACCTAAATGTGGTTTAAATCATGTATATTTATTTTAATTAAAAATACCAACAATGATAACATACAATTGATTGTGATGAAAATGTGGGAGATGAAAATGATAAAAATGATGATGATGAAACAATTAGAATTGAAGGTGAAGAAGAAGGCAATGTACCTATTTTTGTATTATTATATTCTAAATG